GTCTGTCCTGAAAGGTTACTGAGAGCGGGCCAATCGTTGATGGTCACGAACAGCAACGCCTTTAGGTCAAATTCCTCATTTTTGTGCTCATCCCACGTACGTACACCGTTTCCATTCCACAGCTGTAAAAGTTCTTCAACTAATGGCCTTAGGTACACATCAATGTCGTTGCCGGGTTGCTTAGGGCCTTGGATGAGAACTGGCATCATAATGAACTTCCACTTCATGCACATCCAAGGAGGAAGGTTATACATACATAGAGTCACGGGTCAGGTGATGTGATTGCTGCTCTGCTCCCCGAAAGGATTAATGCCATTCGCGCTTAAAGCAAACCATACGTTCCTTGGGTCCTTTGCAAACTCATCCCAGTACTTTCTCTCAATTTTTCTCCACTGCGACTCGTCAGCGGGTGCTCTCAACTTTCCGTCTTTCTTACGGTCCTCACTGTGCCATCGCATCAACTTGGCATGCTCTCCGTTTTTGAATAGACGTTTCAACCGTGGTATTATAGGAGCATACCACATCACCTTCGCAGGAACCCTCTTCCTGGGAGGCTCGCCGTCAACATCACCAGGGTCATCTCGTCTGATCTTATACCGCAATGCACCGCATACCGGGCATGCGTTCAGATCCTTGTAGGCACCGCGGTAGAGGATGCAGTCATTAGGGCATGCATGTATCTTCTCCACCTCCAATCCTAGAGGGCATACGACCTTCTTTGTTGCGTATGTACTGTCGGGCAATTCGTTATCCTTTGGAAGCTTCTTCTTCATTATTTTCAGTAGCTTCTCAAATCCTTTATCAGGCACAGCATTCTCTGCCTTCCACTGTAGCAATTCGAGTACGGTACCGAGCTTTGTGTTGCCATCTTCGCAATTGGGGTACAACCCCTTTTTGTGATCCTCTAACATGCGATCGAACTTCAGCTTCTCCTTTTGACTTTCGCATTGTGTCCTTGCATCGACAATGACCCGGCGGAGATCATCATCATCGGGCACATCGTCTGGTTCCTCTTGATCTTCAACAGCTTCGCCCGTTGCAGCACCATCGTGCACATCGTCTGGTGCATCTTGATGTTCAGTAGCATCACCATATTCAGGGGGCACATAGTTGTCATCGTACTCTTCTTCCTCGCCGTCTTCCATCATAACCCCTATTTCTCCGTGCCTCGTCCAAACATTATAGTGTGGCATGAAACCCTTGTAAAGCAGGTGGGTGTGAAGGATTTTCCGGTCAGAGTAAGACTTCGTATTCCCACATATAGGGCATGGACAACACATAAAACCATTCTGCTTGTTTGCCTTAGCCACTTCGAGAAAATCATGCACGCCCTTAATGTACTCGGAGGTGTGTCTGTCACCGTACATCCATTGCCGGTTCATCTGCGTGTATTATATATAATTAAGTGTGTCAAAAATCATTACAGAACATCATGAATAGATAATTAAGTGACCAAATTAATAGAAGTTCATCATCACATAAAAACCAAAGTACATACATAGTTCTCATCTAACAACATAAAGCTCTGCGGAGCATCTAAATTAATTAAACCATACATTGAAACTATGTAAAACATTTCAATGCGAAAACAAATGCGATCACAATCGCAACCAAGGTAACAACTGATCCAACGACATAATGATACCAAGCCTCGGTATGAATGGCATATTTTCTAATCTTTCTCATCTTCAAGCGCATTGCATCCATCTTGATCTTGTGATCATCGACGACATCCGCAACATGCAACTCCAATATCATCTTCTCCTCCTCAAGTTTTTTTATTTTTTTCTTCAAGAAATTGTTTTCTTCTTCAACTAAATTTAACCTCTCGACAATAGGGTCGGTTGGAATTTCCGGTTCAACAACCTCCTAGATAAATAAAATCTATGTCACGTTGGTCGGCATAATTTTCATAAACAATAAATGAACCAATAGTTATGAAAAGATAATATATACCACATCCGAATCATAGACAGGATGAGGGCCGACGGGGGCGGATACCAAAACCATCGCACTATATAAGATGCAATAATAAAAGTAAGAAAATAATACAAGTAAGAATATTTTTCCTTTCAGAAAGAAGATAAGAACAAGAGGCTCACCACGGTGGTGCTGGCGATGAGATCGGCGCGGGTGATCGACGGCGGTGAAGACGGGGACGGGACGTGATGGACCGCTAAACCTAGACAAATATTGAGGAAAATAGAGGTTCGAGGTCGAGCTTGGAGAGGAGAAAGCTTAAGTAGTGTGGCTCGGGCATTTTATCGAACACCTCATGTGCTATGGAGGTGAGCTAGAGCACCACAAAGCCCCCCCTCGCCGGCAAGAGAAAAACAGAGCACTGGAGTGCTCTGCTCGCGAGCGAGGGGGTATATATAGGCAGCACTATTGGTCCCGGTTCGTGGCATGAACCGGGACTAACGGGTAGCCATTGGTCCCGGTTCATGCCACCAACCGGGACCAATAGTGGTGGGCCAGGAGCCAGGCCCATTGGTCCCGGTTCGTCCCACCAACCGGGACCAAAAGGTCCGGACGAACCGAGACCAATGGCCCACGTGGCCCGGCCGGCCCCCTGGGCTCACGAACCGGGCCAAATAGCTCCATTGGTCCCGGTTCTGGATTGAACCGGGACTAATGGGCTGAACTGGCCTGGGCCATTGCCTCCTTTTCTACTAGTGAATAATAGAATGGGTGTATAGTCATCTTACCCTATTTTGGCCGGTTGTGTCAACCTTTTTAAGCTTTTGTTGAGGATTGTTTGAGACTTTGTTTGCGACCTTGCACAACATTTAATAAATTGGCGGTGCACATCTGAGATGCAGAGGCCGAGGGTAATCCTCCTTCTCCGAAAAATGTGGGTTTGACTTGTAAGCCCACACCATATATTGACACACACACATGGACAAGTAAGAAAAATTGTATTGATGGCACGGGCTAGCATGTGACTTGTGCATGATTTTTTTACAAGTTCTTTTGGCAACTATAGTTAGGATTTATTGATCGGTAGTAATGTTTACAGGAATGGCAATTGGGTCATGTGGAATGCCGAACCAAAGGAGAAGTCCATATATATGTTTACAGCTAGCTAAGGTCATCCATATTCGCATGCAACGTGATGAGCCACGCGAGAGTCAGTCGCTCGCTGGCACCTCGCAGCCGCGCTCCGTAGACATTTTTTTTCACCTCAAAACAACCTCTTTATTCATTGGAAAATAATGTTACATCGTTCACCATAAGAGGTACGATAGAGGGGGGAGGATCATCAAGCCAGACCCTATAGACTTTGGAACTTTGCCAAGTGGGCCAGTTCATGAGCTACATAATTTATTTCCCTAATGGAATGCTCGTATTTAACCCTAGCAAAATCATGCGCCATAAAAAACAATCATAGAAGATTGTTGTAGCAATACCTGTAGGTGGCCTCTCATTTTCCATAACTTCTATGAATTCTAGGTTGTCTGAGCTCACGACAATTCTATTACAATCGACTAACTCCGCTAAGAGCAATCCATTCTTAAGAGCCAAAACTTCAGCAGAAAGAACATCTTAAACCAAATCCAAATGTACATTACTCGCAGCAACAAACTTCTCTTTTTTATCTCGAATGATAGCGTCAGTAGTTCCCCTCAAATAATCTAGATCGAGTGAGGCATCCATGTTTATCTTAACGCAATCACCCATTGGTGGAGTCCAAATCTCCTTTCTCTCTCTTGCATGAGGAACCACAACAGACCTAAAATTTGAGCGCCCCTCGGATTGCCATTGCAGATTTTTCAGGGGACTGCACCTGAATACCACAAGTAATTTGCCTCCTTTCCCACCATAAATACCAACTGGCCACTGCAACAAGCTCTGGTGATAGAGTTTGTCCCAAAATTGATGAGTGATCAATGCTGGAGTACAACAACTCCTCCAAAACTGCATGTCCATGACGATGTACAAGACATGCTTTCTCAATTAGATCATGAATACCCAGAGCTTTCCAAACATGCTTTCCTCGGGTACACTTGAATAGGAGGTGCTTAATGTCTTCCACTCCAATCCCACACAGTGGGCATTGTCCACTCACTTTGATATGGCTGTTCGCTAGGGTAACCGACAAGGAAGCTATTATGGATAGCTCGCGAAAGAATTTTTTTAACCTTTCCCGGCACATTGAGTCCCCAAATCTTACCCCAAATTGGATGATGTTTAATATCAATTGCTTGGTGACCTATGTGTTAACCTTTGGCCATGGTGTTCTTCCCATTCAGCACAATATGCTGAGCACACAGAGAAAGTGGTCATACGAGTCAGGTTCCAAGCAACAAAGTCTTGCATGCCCGAAGAAGATAAAGGGATAGCAAGAATTCTTTGAACATCAACTTCCCAGAAAGTTTGTTTCACTAGGTCCACATCCCAGAGATTTGAGTCGGGATCAATAAGGTCGCTCCGTGGACTTCTCACCATTTACGAGTGCCAGATTACTTATGTAGCGCCGTTGTCTCTTGTGAGTGCCGAATTATCAGTTCATTTAGTAGGCCATTGGTTGTTCTTCTAAATAAAAATCCTAATATATGTTGGTGCCCATTGGTAAGAGTTTTCTCACAGGATGTTAGTGCCAATAGATTGTTGATGCCAGTAGACAGCAAGAGATTTGGTAAAAGAAAAATAATTGGTGTGATGAAGAAAATTCAAGACTTCAACTGATAATCAAGAGATTTGTTAATAGCATGAAAATTTCAAGAATTCAACCGATCAGGGAAATTCCGCTGCTGTGATAAAGAAAAAGGCACACTTTGTTACATAGTAGTATGATACAAGAGATTTGGTTCAAGAATTCAACCCAAGGCGCAATGTAAGAAGGCTAGCCACCGTGGTTTTCTAGTCCTGCCAGAAGCTTCCTCTGTAGGTACACGTGTCGATAGATAAATTACAATGGCACAGGGGAAATCAGTGAAACCAAAATGGCATGACGAATCATCATGAGCGATCTGTTGAATCCCTTTAAGTGGTCCGTGCTAAAACCTAGGAGGGTTTGTCGGGATTCTTGAAACCCCTTGCATTACACTTGCTTGCCTTTTCCGGTAATACACGAACGGCCCACTTACAAGCAACATTCCAGCCATGAGGACCTGCAAAGGACATTGCTTTGGGATTCAGAGTCACAGAAAAAAATGACGCAAAACTCACCATGGATAACCGTCAAGACGTCGATCAATGAGAACTCCGAAGAAATCAGGTTATCAACAAAATGTGATGCGACTGTGACTAGCCGATAAGTGACAATCATGTAAGTTGTTCGACAAGCAGAACATATGGTTCAATTTTCTAAGGGTAGATAAGCAGCTTTCAAGTTTTAACTGGAGAACTGGAAGTTTCGATCTTCAAAAGGCACCATACTTCATATCAGTATAAATTTCATGGCCCAGACACCCACTGCCACAAACTGAAAACAAAATATATGAGTCCACTCTTGCGTACATCTGGGATAATACCCCAGTTCTGAAGAGAAGCTTACAAAAGATTCTCGCTTCCTCAAAAAAAATTGTAAGATTTTTTTACAGTTTAAGACTTTTTATCCAAAGATTATGGTATAGGAAACAAGAAAACATCATGCAATCTTTGTAAGTAAGAACCAAATGCAAATTGATGGCAGGGTGATGCATCATGCAGCTTTATACTAGTAAGAACCAAATAAGGTTTTAATGATATTATTACCTCGAAACCAAGAATAGATAGTTTCTCTTCAGCCTCCAATGGTACACAACTCCTGTAAGTAACATAATGTTTTGGGCCAGCTGGCATGGATGTCTCTGCCAACATCTTTCTATCCTTTGTTTTGTTCTCTTCTTTTGTACCATTTTGTACCTGTATACATTTCAAAGGCAAACGGTAGCCAGTTTCGCTGCAACAGTACTTCTCGTCATTCTATAAAAATAAAGAAAGAAATGGCGTGTTAGTAAGCTTTAAAACCAATATATAATAATGCCATTTCAGTATTTGATAGTGCAGTGCTTGCACAAGTGGTAATTTGAAGTTTTGCACCCAGACTTAAGTTTGCCAAGCAAATATGAAAGGGGCAGTAGGTCATAAGTCAACATGGCTGTTGGTAATGGAATTCTCTGTAATTGCAGAAAAGCTATCTTCTAGAAAAATCTTCAAGTCAAGCTATGTGATCATCAGATGCTGGATAAACCATGGTCCAGAAAAATGGTGCAGCAGTGTTATGTGATTATCAAGTTAACAATTAATTAAACTGAATAATTATCCAGCATCTACAAGTTCAAGAGAAGCTAAGCTCAATACAACCGTCTGACCAAGAAATGTTCAAATAAGGAGTCGACCAATTGTGAGGACAGAACTACTATGCTAGAAGGAGTTAAGAGGTGCGGATTCTGACAAGTAAAGAGTAAGGACAATGCGTAATTTATGAGCGAACATTGTTCTTTCATGTACACTGTCTCAAGATGGAAGACCAATTCCTTGTCATTAGTCAAACAACAACAAAAGGCTGACAATTTTGGGCAATTACAGAAAGGAGTCACTAATATAGATAGAAAGACAATACACTATTAATGTTTAGAGAAAATACACACACTACTATAAGATTATGAAAGGAACGGATGAAGTGTTTCTAGCTATATAATGGTCATTTTCCGATTCCAGGAGGAACTTTTGGCTTTTATAGCACAACATAGCACATGTCATTTCAGTATTTGATAGTGTAGTACTTGCACAGCTGTAACTGAAAGTTTTGCACCCAAGCTTGACATTTATCAAGTGTTTGACTACATTAAGTTTGTCAGGCAAATACGAAAGGGGCAGCAGCTCATAGTCAACAAGTCTGCTGGTGATAGAATACTCTGTAAGTGCGGAAGCTATTTTCTAGAAAAATCTCCAAGTAAGCAGCACATAATCACCATGGAAAGTGGAAACCTCACCTTATGCCGAATAAATCATGGTCCAGGAAAACGGTACTGTTATGCAATCATCAAGCTAACAATTAATCAAACTCAATAATGAGAGCAGCTACAAATCCAAGAGAAGGTAAGTTCGATATAACTGTCCGACCACTTCTCAGGTACATATATTCCAAGCAATGTTCAAATAAGGAGTCTCAATTGAGTGGACAGAAGTACTAGGCTAGTAGTTTGGAAATGGGAATTCAGACCAATGAACTAACATAGTTCTACCATGTACTCTGTCTCAAGTTGTCACGCCAATTCCTTGTTATTGTTTAGTCAAACAACGACCAAAGGCAGATGATTTTGGGCAATTATTGAACTGAGTTGCTAATATAAATGGGAACACAATACTATGAATTCCAAGAATCTAGACAATACACACACTGGTATAAAATGAAGATAGGAACAGAGCCATTGCTCATAGCTATAGAAGGGTCAATTTCCAATTCCAGTAGGAAACTTTGGCTTCTACAGCAGAAAGATAGCACACTTCAAGGCCATTCGCTGATTCACAACACAAAGATTGGAGCCACTTTGGTAACTTAAAACATAAAACTAGAATTTTACCAACATGGCACAAAAGATCTGTATTTCCCCTGACCCGACTAAATGCCCTCCCTCTCCAAAACACGCTTCTATTTTTTTTTAGCTTGCGCAGCCTTTATCGCTCGAATGATAATTATCTGGATGCTCTTCATCACAATTTACTCTAACAGCATCGCAACTTTGAACAAACGAAACTCTCAAGCTGGAACATAGTAAACTAACAAAATTGATGTAGGCACTCACCAGCCGTTCTGATCCGGACGGTAAATTGTGACTAAATAAATGTATACTCCTCCTACAACTAACAATTCTGATAGATTTCGGAGCGAAAAGGGCTCGGCTGTTCGCCTGTCCCAATCCAAATTCACCAAGATCCAGCCTTCTCTTGGCATCCAATTTCATTTACCCAAGAAATCGGAGCTACATCTAAACCAATGGGAGCAATGAGCACGCGATCCCCAAATCCAACTCCAACTCAATCAATCATCCTCCCAAGATCGATTAGTTTTCTCTCCGCGGGGTGGGGGAGTCGAAGGAAGGGAGGAGAGGAGAGGGGAGGGGCGGGGCGGCTGACCTTCTCGGAGTACTGGCAGGGGATGCAGGGGCCGGAGGGGCTGCAGCGGTAGGAGGAGTTGCCCTGCGCCTCCACGAACCCCAGCAGCGACCTCCGCGCCCCCTTCTTGGCCGTCGACGCCGCCGCCGCCATCGCGATCGCCGGCGGGATCCAGCACAGCGCCGCCACCGCCACCAGCAGCAGCAGCAGCAGCCGCCACCGCCACGACGTCGCCGCCGTCGCCTTGCTCGCCATCGCCAGCCCCCAAGATGCCTCCTTTCCCCCTCTTCCTCCTCCTTCGGTGCCGGTAGGAGAGAAGAAGTTGGGTTGGGCTGGGCGCTTAACGGGCAGGAGACGGCCTAACGGGCCAGCTTCTGTGCTACTACTACCAGTTGCTTCCTTCCTTCCGTCGGTTGTCAGCCGAACCCAGCCGCCGCCCGCCGCCGCCGGCGATGTTGCGCCGCCTGCTGCCTCTCCCCCGGCGCTGCTACTCCGCCTCGGCGACCTCGAGCGGCGCCGCGCCGACGCTCTACTCCGGCGGCGACCACCCCGTGTCGCTGCTCTCCTGGGGCCGCGGCGCGTCGGGCCAGCTCGGCGGCGGCAAGGAGGAGCGCCGCCTCTACCCGGCGCCGGTCGCGCGGCTCCTCCTCCCCGTCCCGTCCCCGGTGCTCCCGCCCACCCCCGGGCGGCTTCCCCCCGCCGCGGGGACGGAGGCGGCCGGCGGCGTGGAGGTGGGGATCTCCTGCGGGCTTTTCCACTCCGCGCTCCTCGTGGACGGCGCCGCCTGGGTGTGGGGCAAGGGCGACGGCGGCCGCCTCGGGCTCGGCGACGAGGCCTCCGCCTTCGTGCCCCGCGCAAACCCCAACCTCGCCGGCCTCCGCGTCCTCGCGCTCGGCGGCATCCACTCCGCCGCCCTCACCGCCCCCGGCGACGTCTTCACCTGGTGAGGACACGGCACTCCCACATTGCTCGCTCATTCTGGAATTTCACTGACGATCAGATGCCGGATGGACCGCGAGAAGTAGGATGTGCTGCATTTTGGTTGTCATGGTTGATGGTTGTGGCTGGCTGCTGCATCACTCAGTTTACTCTAGTAGCCTGCAGGGGTTATGGTGGATTTGGAGCTCTGGGGCACTACGTTTACCATAGAGAGCTGTTGCCGAGGAAAGTGAACGGCCCTTGGGAAGGGAAGATTGCACACATTGCCACGAGTGGAGCGCATACCGCGGCGATCACAGAATCAGGTTGTTTGTAACTTGTTATCCACACTTAATCCAGAAATGCACTTTTTTTTAATCATCAGTTGCTGCCCTGTGCAAATGAATAGTGTGAGAAAGTGAACATTTTTTTTTGTTATTGTCATGTTCAAGTATTGGACTTGTGATCATCAAACGTCAAACACCCTCAGCTCTGATCCTTGAATTTTGACGGCTTGTAACAGGTGAACTATACACTTGGGGTCGTGATGAAGGCGATGGAAGGTTAGGGCTTGGGAGTGGGGGTGGTCCAGGTGAAGCCGGCTCTCTCAGTGTTCCTTCCAAGGTGAGCGCGCTGCCTGTACCAGTTGCTGCGGTTGCTTGTGGTGGCTTCTTCACACTTGCGCTGACCTCGGATGGGCAGCTATGGAGTTGGGGAGGTGAGGATGTCACTGTGTATCAATTTATTAACTACAGTACTCTAGTAAACGCCATGCAATTACTAACTTATTGTGCACTGATGCTCTTCTACAAAACTAGGGAAAACGTTGTATACTTAACTTACTGCTAATGTGAAATGCAACAGCATGCAGTTCATATTAAGCTGCACTTATGAATTTACAATGTTCTCGCTAATGTGAAATGTTGTGTCAGCACAATATTTTTCCTCCAACTACATGCCCAGACCTTTCATTTCATCCATTGGGCATAAGTTACATAGGTTATGATAATTTTCTAAAATGCTCTTCCTTAATCAACATCTTAACAGTATTTGGCATTACTTTCCTAGTATTCAAATCTCAATGATCTTGCTTAATATATTGTGAAGATAACATCTCTTCATTCTAGCTTTCCAGGTTCCGTCGTAAGGGACTTGTGTACTAATTTAATTTCAAATGCATCTCATCTATTGTGTAACTATTATATCATTTGACTTTCCAATGCCTATTTGCAACGTATGGATTTACTGAGTTTCTATAACTTGTCTATGATCTTCAGCAAACTCAAACTTCGAACTTGGCAGAGGAAGCAATTCCAGTGACTGGAGGCCACAAATTGTCCCTAGCCTGAAAAATGTCCATGTAATCCAAGTAGCATGTGGTGGATACCATTCTTTAGCCTTGACTGGTATGTTTTACTTGTTGGAAATTCAGGTGTTTTCTATGAACTAAGGGAAGGCAACTTTTGTGATCTCCTATCAAAATTTGATAACATGTTACACTGGAAAAATTAGAACTTGCAATCTAAGTCCTGAAAAAAAAACATTCAGACAGGAGTAATGAAGGAATATACATTTGCCTTTGTCTCACTAAGTTGGTTAATTATGCCTACTGCTTGTTTTGACTGCAATAATGATCTTCAATCATAAGACCACATTTGATCATGAATCAAGTTCTGTTGGATCTTACAGCAAGCAACCAGCCTAACACCACTGTATTCATAGAGATGTATACTTAATCACTTATTAGTTGTATTATTTTCAGACTGCTGATATAGCAAACACAGAACAATGTATTGGTTGTTGCAGCATACAAGTATGTGACATATCTTACCTCTGTTAACTATATTCAGATGAAGGTGAAGTTCTCTCATGGGGACATGGCGGACATGGCCAACTAGGGCATCCAACCATTCAAAATCATAGAATTCCACTTGCCATTAAAGCTCTGTCTGAGGAGCGAATTGTCTACATAGCCTGTGGGGGATCAACTTCTGCTGCTATATCAGGTGAATGCTGTTTCTCTTTTTTGTCTTAAAGATAGTCATTCATGGTGGTTGTTGCTGTGCAGGGAAATCTTGACATATTCTTAGTATCACCTACCTTCCATTCGCCATTTTCTTTACTAGTAAATCGTAGTACACAATGTCTATACTGAAGATTCATAGGAAATGGTAAACATGCACCACCACCACATGACATTGAGTAATTGAGAATAAAACTGTCGACGTTGAAAACCATTTGGGGTGTGAAAGTATTACTAATCAGTAAGTCCAAGAAAATACTGGGAACTCGTGTATAGTTTATAAGACTGGCATGTAATTGAGATATGAGAGAGAAACTTCTTAAAGTTAACCAGTCAGGCAGATAATCAGTATTTTGTTACTGTTGTAATTATGCAGGAAACAGGCGTTGCATACAAATTTAATTGCATGTATTGCTGATGAAAGAAAGGATTTCTAAGATTTACTTACTAGTTTTGTAGCACACACTTTAATTAATTTCGAGTAATGAAAAGAAATACGATTGTCGTAACTAAGCTTCAGTTAGTCCATTTATTTTGATACACGAAACCCAGATATATTGCCACTGTAAGAGCCTCTTATTCGTTTCGTAAGATGTCTCTCTCAACATTCTTGTTTTAACTAGCTTAGTTATGTTGCCTTCTTCTAGTTCTACATCACATTGCATGCCAGCTAAATGCAAGCAACTAAAATTTCACACCATGAGTAGCTTACCTGAATTTACTTTCTTTGTGTGGCCAGAGAAAGGTGACCTGTACATGTGGGGAAATGCAAGAGACTGCCAGCTAGGCGTTCCCGATCTTCCAGAAGTGCAACCATTACCTGTTAAAGTTAATTTTCTTGCTGACGGTGATGAGGATCCAAGCCCTCCTCGTGTCATCTCAGTTGCAATAGGCGCTTCCCATGCCATGTGCTTGGTCTCCAGGCAACAGATTCAGAAATAGCAGCTGTTGCTTATCAGCTTTGTAAATTCAGTCAAATTTGGACCTCCTAACCTGTGAGTACGCCATGGAGAGGATCATGTTCTCTACTGGTTAGAGCCTGCCTTCTCAGTTGGCGAAAACTCCTGCTCGGTGAAGCCCAACTTCAAGAAGAAACAATAATATTACAGGCATGCCATACTTCCTTGAATTTGAACACTGGAAGTTCTGTTAATTAGCGATAGATTTGTTTCTTGATTTCTCGAGTGATGTGAAACGAGAGATAAAACCGACCGTGTACCTTCTTGATTTCAGATTCATAGATCCTTTTCTGTAGTTGGCAAGATGAACAAAATTCTGTAGCATGCTGATTTTATTGCTGGCTTGCACTTGGCACCCAGTTCAATAAATTAATTGAGCAATGCTTGCGCATTTGCTTCCTCGGTCACTCCCCCTCTCAGTTACCTGGGATTATTCATGTCTTGCTCTTTGGTAGGATGGTGTCAAAATGTCAGTGACTCGTTTTCCATGTGTAAGTAAAAAGCTCCTTGATTCCATGGCTGCTCTTTGCCACTTCCCTTGCAAAACTCTGCATTTGTTGGGTGGATCAAATCTCCGCACTTCTTTTACCTCATGTGTTCAATGTTCTTCCATCCCAGTTGGTCAATCGATTCCGAGAGATATATATCCCCCAGCTGTGAATTAACTCCATCATATCCTAGTTTGTTAAAGAAAACCACATAGTTCAAGCCTAGGTTGTAGTGGAACATGTTTGTTTCATCTGGTTATACTCGTTAATGTTTGAATAAGAGAAGTCCGGAGAGTCAAGAAATGCCAGGTGTTCATATGAAATTTCCCTGTTTTGGTCACACAAGGAAATATGTCAGGAGCTCCACTGAGCTGCTCAGTGGAAATTCTGTCATCAGGTCGAAGATTTTTTTTGCATCATCACACGTACTATCTGAGCTGCTTTCTCAATCATATATCATGTTTGTATTGATGCACACTCAATATAGCATGTTTTTGTTGCATAATTTTGGCCTATCCTTTCACCAGGATGACAGTACATATCAACAGCATGGTTTGATTTGCCAACCCTTAGTTGTTTGTACTTCACATACTCTTTGTGTTCTTCCAATACACGTCGCAATGGTGCACGTTGAGGTGTGTTGCAATGAGGATTCCTTTCACGATGCTACATTACAGTTCAACATTGAATCTCCGTTTGTACCTAAAAAGTATGTTTTTACCTAGTTGGGATTAGAAGCTGTTTATCTAAAAAGTTAAATGTGTCAGTGTAAGTAATTTTCTTTCTATTGCAGATTTTTGTTATCAAATGTTGTGTGTTACTGCTAGAAATTTAGTTATGACGGTGAACACTTTTTTGTATTAATTC